TGTGGCAGTGTATATTTCAATGTTCTAGGTAGATTCATTCGATTTTACTCATCCTATCGATGGAAGTACCATGAGGCCTGCCGCGAGGTTGAAGACTTTCATGTTCGTTCTCTCTCTCTCTCTCTCTCTCTCTCTCTCTCTCTCTCTCTCTCTCTCTGTGTGTGTGTGTGTGTGTGTGTGTGTGTGTGTGTGGCGCACACCCTCCCATGGGCAGGTTGGTCCCACGAAAGGGACTGACGGCCAGAGACGGAATTTTCCAACCCCCACCGTTTTTTTTATTTTTTTTCAATTAAAAAATAAAATCGGCAGTGCGGGGGGGTTCCCGACTGCAAGGGGCACCCCCCATGCCACAGAAACGGGGTTGGACCCCCCCTGCTTGGCACAACTTCTTTTGGCAGGCCGCTTTAACCCCATCGAACTGGGGGTAGGATGGGGGTAAGGTGGAGGTAGGACGTCGCTCTAAGGTTAGAGCAGGGAGTCGGGGATCCCCCATTTTACCTTTCGGCAGACACTCAGTATTTAGGTCGGGGAGAGAGGGGACGGCACTTGGAGGAGCGGGATTTATCAAGCGGATAGAGAAGTGGTTTGGGGAGGCGGGACTGTTCGAAGGCGAGAGTGGTCATAGTTTTCGACTAGGAGGTGTCCAAGCAGGAATTGAGGAAGGATAGAGCCTGGGGGAAATGATGAGGCAAGAGACGTGGACTAGTATTGGGATGCTCGTACGTTACAGAGACAGGATGCTGCGCAGTTGGAAGCAAGGGTCTGAAGCAGTGAGTCAGAGGAGGTCACAAGAGGATAGAGGTGAAAGAGGATCGAAAGGGGGGGAACGAGAAGATTAGGTGGGAAAAAAGGAAGCAATGAATTTGAACTTAGCAGGGTTAGGAGTGGAGTGGTGTACTCTAGGGCTATGAATACAAGAGCGAGGTGACTGGGAATGGTGAAGGTTGAGGTTATATTGAGTTGGGTCAGTCTAGGGTACCATGTTCTTGAGGAATTGGAGTGAATGAGGAGGTATGAGGTGGGGCTTGCTTGAGCCAAAGAATGACATTGTGAAGGAGAAAGGTAAGGGGGGAAACCCATCTGTAAGGGGTGGAGGCCATAGACTTCCAATCAACAGACAGGGGGTCAATTGAGAGGTCATGCCGCAACCAGGTTCTCGAGATGGAGATTGGGGAGATATGTTATGTGACCCTACTATGGCATGACCAGGTTCACCAGCGGTTTTGTACTACCGCCGTTAAACTTAGTGTCGCCGCCGCAAAAATCCGGCAGCGCTTCCGTACCACCGTCGTTAAACTTAGTGTCGCTGCCGCAAAAATCCGGCAGCGCTTCTGCACCACCGAAGTAAAACCTAGTGTCGCCGCCGCAAAAATTCGGCAGTGCTTACGCACCACTGTCGTTAAACTTAGTGCCGCCGCCGCAAAAATCCGGCAGCGCTTCTGCACCACCGCCGTTAAACTTAGTGGCGTCGGTGCAAAAATCTGGCAGCGCTTCTGCACCACCTACGTTAAACTTAGTGTCGCCGCTGCAAAAATCCGGCAGCGCTTACGCACCACCGCGGTTAAACTTAGTGTCGCCGCCGCAAAAATGCGGTAGCGCTTCCGCACCACTGCCATTAACAGCCTTGTCGCCGCTGTAAAATATTGACAGCATTTCCCCACTACAGCGGAAAAATGTCTGGCCGAAATTAGTAAAATTTGGGCCTCAGGCCCAAATTCTACAGCGTCGTACTGTCGTAGTCCCGCAGTGTCCCTGGGTCAGTCCCGTCGGACCAGCACCAGCCAGAAGGGAGGGGAGCAGAGTGTTCCCTGCCTTGGCTATGACTGCCCAACT